ATTGATTTATATATAAAAATTATAAAGAATATAGAGTTTATAATATTTTTAGAGTTTATAAAGATTATAAGAATTATAAAAATTATGTTAATTATAAAAATTATGAAAATTATAAAAATTATGGAAATTATAGAAATTTCTAATCATAACACTGGTTCAAGCTCGAACTGAATCAGACTAAAACTGAATCAGACTTTTTTTCGGAATCCTACTTACCACTTCTCTAATTTTAATTTATTCTGACTTTATGAAGAAATTTTATCTTTATACTGATATCTCTAACTCTGGATTGAAAGTTATACTTTCACAGAAAGATAAAGAAAATTGAGAATGAGTAATTGCTTATTCAAGCATTTTTCTTAAATTAGCTGAAACCTAATATAGCACAATTGAAAAAGAAGTCTTAGTAGTAGTTTGAGTTATTTGTTAATTTAAATATTACTTACTCAGAACAATCTTTAAAATAATAATGAATCACAACACATTATGATAGCTCTTTGCTAAATAGATAAATTTAACATCAAGAATTTCCTGATAGATTACAATAATAATAAAATATAACTTCATAATTTATTTTTCACCTAGATGAGTAAATCAAAATACTGATACTCTATCCTGAATTAACTCTGTTAATCATTAAAAATACTTAATTAATCAATTACAAAAAATGGATTTAATAACTTACTAAAACTTACTTTGATTTTTGAATAATGAAACTCACAATACAATACTACTTGAACAACAAAAAAAATAACTTCAACAACAATTTAAACATTTTGTCATACAAAATGTTTTACTTTATAAAATTAATGAAAATATGCTAATAATTCACTTCAAATACTAAAAGAAATAAAGATAAAAGTAGTGATGAAAGAAATGCATGAAGATCTATTATCTGAATATTTTAAATATAATGAAACTTATCATAAATAGCTATATGATATTGGTAAAATGAAATGGAAATTAATATAAAAGATTTTGTAAAATCTTACTCAACATATCAATTTATTAGAAATTGACAATTCAAAGAACTCTTATATTTCATCAAAGTTGAACAATTATTTGATCATATCATAATTAATTTAATTGAATTATGCAAATAAACTCAATAAGAAAATTGATATATTGTCACACAATAAATTATCTAATGAAATAATCTGAAGCAAAAGTAATACTTAACAAAGAAGCTATTATAGTTATAAAATTTATCTTTAAAGAAATTATCTGTTGACATAAATATCCAAAAATATTAATAATAAGTTAATATTATTGATAAGATTCTGTTAAATTATTCTATAATTTCATTCATTTGTGAGTAATATGATAATAAATATTTGTATTATATTCTAAATATATCAGTAAGTTCTTTTATTATTTGTGTTATATACTCTATTTTTTGATCTAATTATAGTTTAGAAGAATGGAATAACTATATTCTCGCAGTATTATTTGCTTATAGAATATTACAAAATAATATTACAAGACACAAACCATTTTTTTTTAACATATAAAAGAGAAATAAGACTATCAATAAAATTACAGTTTGAAATAACACTCGAAAAAGAAGTTAAAATCAAAGAATAACTATTAGATAGAATATTTATACTTATTAATTACTTACTTGAATGAATTAATAATATCAAGCAAAATATAAATTTTTCACAAGCAAAATCTAAAGAAAGACATGATAGAAAAATATAAAAAATAAAACAATTTAAAATTGAAAACAAAGTTCTAATTTATAATATTAAATGATACGTGAAATACAGAAATAAATTCAAGTCACAATGAAAAGAAGAATAGCACTATATTCATGAAATTTATTAGAATAAAGTATATAAATTGCAAAACCAACAAGAACTGTTATTCAAGAAAATATTCAATAATGCACAATTAAAATTATATTATGAAAAACAAACTTTATTTGAACTCAAAATAATAATAGAATATATTAATCCTTTACAAATTCTTTCTTAGATAGAATTCTTTTAAATTATATTATAATACATTTAACTATTATAAATAATTTATCTATTTTCTCTCAAAGTTTTTAACAATTATTATATTATTTTAAAATTTCACTTTTCAAGTTTCTTTTGAAAAATTTTATTTACTAATCATTGCTCTTTTTAGAATTATGCATATATATTATTATATCTTAATTATCAAATTAAATTGATAATGTTATATAATTATTACTTATTTAGCTTATGGTTCATCTACTTATCAATTAACAACAAGAAAGCATTTTCATATCAGAAATAGGTGTAATATTATATAATAACTTTAAACAAATCTATTTAATTTCCTTGATAGAATTAATCTCTAACTCGGTTTTAACGATATCTGTATTTTTTTAACTGGTTTCTTTTCTTATCAATACATATATCTAGCTTTTCTTGAAATGTAAGAGTTTTACAGTGAGAATTAACTTTGGTTTTGCCTTTATCTTTTCTTGAACGCTTTGTTGACTTTTCCATATCAGAAACTTCAGGTGGTGGTGGAAAATGTTCACGGAATCCAGAGGACTCTTGAAATGTAGTCGACATTTTGTCCTAGCATATACTGTACGTATGATACAACCGTTTCGTTATCGTTTTTTGTTAACGTTAATTTAGGTAATTACATCGAATTCGATGTGTCTACACCGAATTCGATGTGTCTATATCGAATTCGATGTGTCTACACAGAATTCGATGTGTCTACATCGACTTCGATGTTTATGTTTTGTGCTCCGATCCCACTTTCATAAATACCAAAGCTTACATTATTCCATCCTGAAATACCGCTTCATATTTTTTTTGTCATCCTTTTGTGTTTCGATTGCATTTCATAAAAAAGCCAAGATCACATTGTCCTTTGCGTTTCCACTCTCTGCTGATTTGAATGATTTTTTGCGTTCCTATAAAAATACATTGTCCAATTGCATTTCCACTCTGAGGATTTCAAATATATTCTCATCTTTGTGTTGTGTTTGTTCAAATTCTATAACAGCAATCAAAAACAAGATTGCATTGCCCTCTGGCGTTTCCATCCTCTGCTGATTACCCTCTTCGATAGAGTGCAAAATAACTGATTCTTGACAAATGCATTAAAATTTCTATGCCTGATGGTTAGTTTAGAGGTTTGATCATTAATAGATAATAAATCAGTGTAAATTAAATAAGAGAATAAAGTTATCGAACGCTTAAATATAAAATCTTTACGTTAAAACTTCTACTTTTTCAATCATGACTACAACATTGCGTAAAATCCAAATGAACAGATGTGACGAATTACGTACATGTACAAATAATTCTCTCGAGTAGGTGTTAAAGAATATAAGTAGTATTTATAGTATAAAAGATAATAATTCATACACTTAATTGTCAATGACGTCAATAATTATTCAATGATTCCTTTATTATTTTCATACGTATTTACGTATTGCGTAACGATAATACGTATAGCGATAGTATACCATATTCTAGAACGTTTACGTTGATCACCGTTCTACTGTTATCAAAGTAGCATTAAATTCTTCGATTCCGTAATTTTAATTCTCAATTTCTACATGAAAATCTTTCCATAACGACCTACATGAAAATCCCTCCAAAATTAGTTTCTTGTGTAAGTTCTATTGTAAACCAAATTTAGCCAAATTTAGTTAGGAATAGATATTACCTTTTTTTTATTTATTTATCGTTATATCGAATTACGACCATTCCGTCGTTTTTTTAATATACGTACACGACGATCATCGAGAGGGTAACAATCACAATAATTATTTGAACAATCGGGAGTGTCGAACGATAGTTAATACATGTACACGTAACGGTAACGATTATCGAGAGGATAATCCCGACAATCATCTGGACAATTGAAGAACATCGACGAAATGTACGTAACGATAGTAACTATAAAAAAGGGGACAATCGAACAATTAGTGTTTAGTTCGTGTTAAAAGAAACTATCAATGTAAATTACTAAACTTAGAATTAGCATAGGATTAGCGTAGTAATTCGAAATTATATATATATATAAGCGTCTTCAAGTCGCTGAGAAGACATGCTTTGATCGTGCTTTAAAATCGAATAAAATAACAAAGTTCTTATTCGTAATAACAATATTATTTGTGAATATACTATTATTTTCTTTCGTTTCGTGATCAAACTTCAAACCTTGCGAGTGATTGCAAGTAGTGGATGCTCCTCCACTCTAAATAAGCCGTTGAATTCTTTTGAATTGTTATTTTGATTTTATTTCTTGAACAGGCCATACCTATAAGTCCTGTTAAGTTGATTTTGTTTTCTTTGTACAGGCTGTATCAATAAGTCCTGTTGAAATTAGTTTTGTTTACTTGGACAGGCTGTATCAATAAGCTCTGTCGAATCGCCCTTTTGTATTGAGTTTCTTTTTGGACAGGCCGTATCAATAAGCCCTTCCATATTCGCATCAATTGATATTAAAATAAAATAAAAACTTTATTATAACAAATCGACTCTTATTACAAGAGTAATTCTATTCTATCTATTTTTCAAACATCCCCTCATCATTTTGAAAAGGTCGATTTGTGAACAAATCACCACGGGAAACCTCTAGAACAACCGGAGAGATCCTCCAACCGTAAATAATTCAGTTTAACTACCACCCCGTTGCAGAAAGTTCCTTGAATCGATTGGTTATTGCAATAACTATAATAATCTGGTGCTCCCCAACCATCGTATAATAAGCCCTTTCGGTAAATATTAGAATGAACGCAACAGTATAAAGTTTCCTAATCGTCGTTACCATCGATAAATTGAGCTAAAATTTTCACCCTTGCTTGTACAATTGTTGCGCTACAGTGTCCAATAAGATAATCGATTAGCTGCATTGACAGCAAGTCATAAATCTTTGGCTATCAATGTGGCTACAAAGCCACCTTTGTAGTCATTGCTCGGCAGAATACCGTACTGGGTTAATAGTATCGCTGGACCAACATCTGCCCGTTGAAGGATAAGAATGATAGCTAGTAATTTTGGGTTTATACCGAGGCTCATCGTTTTCGAAACGCTGATCATGGAGATAGCAAGAAGCATGTTACACGTTTTTGTTATTTGACCACTACCTGATTTTCCACAGTGTATAATGTTTTTTCCCATTTGAGAAAGTATTGGTTGGGCGCGATCAAAATCTTCGGTTGTAGATGTCCTGCCATAGATGTAAGAGTTGCGGCTTCGGCACCCACGGTTCTTGCAATTTATCAAAAGAACAGATTAGAGAATAACGAGAGAAATACACCACTAATAATACATGATATATTTACATCCAGAAACGGGCGCATTAGTAGCACGTGCACCTTTAGTGATAATAGCTTCCGCGTCAAATTTTGCTACACTTTGATCAATCGTACTCGAATTCACCGCACGTAGAAAAAGTATACTTGAGTGAGGAAGGATTAGTGCATGCGGTAGACAAGGATAATCTTCTGATTGATTCGGTAACATTCTAATCACCACCGATGCTGCTTGAGCTACCTCCTTGGATGTTTACGCAATGCCAAAAATGAGGTTTGTTGTAACTCAATGACTGTCACGTTTAAATCGTAAAAGATAAATGGTGCGCCAGATTTCTATATAATTATAGGATATAACATCATTTAAACGTGAAGCCGATTACTGTGATATATATACATGTATATAATGGACACGATTGTGCAGAATATGGATTACGAATTGGATTTGTTCCACATTCAAAAACCGCATTCTAACTGACAATCGAACTCTTTCACAAAGGATTTTAAATGGTCCATATTGTCTTTTGAAAATTTCCTGAGACGAACTTTGTCGCCTGATATATGGTTTTTATTTCTTTTTTGCATAAGGGCCGTTACGGATTTCTCGTGAATAAATGCGATATAACATGCTTGATCAAATACAAATAGAATCATAGACAATATAAATACGTAACATGTAACTAAAATTTTAACTAATGTTAGCACTTATTACTATACACATTGAATCCAGCCAAAATAATGTATACTTTTTAATATTATTAAAAGAGTAAGTTAAATCATTGTAAAATGAAATAACTTTCGATTTAGAACTACAAAATATATTTCAAGAAATTAATTGTACATACTGGTGAGGTTAAAGAACATGATTTATCCAATAACGAATGCTTGATGGCGTTGTTGGTTCATTGTATTACTGCTCAAATAGTCTCTCGGTAATGCTCTTTCCCGATCTTCTGAAAAAATCCATTGATACTGCTCTCGCAGTGAATCATTTCGTCAAAAAGCTAGTGACTTAAAATCTGATGCTTCACAGCTTGGAGAAATTGATACTAGTTCAAATATACAGTATCTGAAATTTTATCAATGAGAAAGGAAGTAGCTTTCTCAAATAATCTAATCCTTTCCTTTTCACGTATAACTACTGAAAAATGATTTTGTAGATCAATTTCACTTGAATTATCTAGTATTGAATATATCTATCAAATACACTTGTCCTCGGAATAGGATAGCTAGCAGAGCAATTTATATCTTGCAGAATTGTTCGTTCTGATCAAGAAAATAGATAATTCATAAAAGATTAACACCAAATCGCCTAACGCTAACACTTACATGTATCAGTATATCGATATTAATCTTGTGCATGTAATGTACATGTATATTGAAACAGATCTGAAACACTGGGCGTATGTGTGTAGGATTGCTGAAATAAATTCACAACGTATTTGCATCTATGTTTGATGATTATATAATCCATACAGTGGTTGAATATTTTGTCACTATCATCTATTTCCTCAAATACTAGAATAAAAGTAGTTATTATATGATAAAAATTTGCAGGAACTCGAGTGCTTGGAAAAATGCCAGACTTACCAGGTGTGAACTGTTTGACACTCATTATATCTTTCCCATTGATATTATTCTTTCATAGCGTTTCTTTCAAATCATCCAGAGTTTTATATATGAATAAGTTCTTTGTTTTTGTTCGAGCTCCCTGATAAATTCACTGAAGCTGTTGCAGGTTCCCCTTTCATACCATAGCACTCAAGCTTTTCCTCTGTTAGTTTGAGAAGGAACAGCCAGTGATTTTTTCTTTATGCAAGATAAATTATCATTATCAAGTTTTAGATTTCGTCTTTGTAATAGCTAATAATTTCTTCCATATCAAAATCCTTAACAACATCTGTCATTGTGCAAGTTGATCTTTCTTCCGTTAAAGTGAAGGAAGTAAAACTGGTGAAGAAATGGGCAAAAAAGTGTGTAAAAACATAATATTATTTTTATATTGATGTATGACATTAAAAATCTTGTTTATGTATCTTGTCTTGCTAGATAATGCAATTTCGAAAAGTGAAATTTTTCTTGTCTTTATTTTTAGTGAGATGCAATAAGGATCTACAATACAATAAAATCATGTGATTTTCACCATTAACAACGTTAACGTTAATACATGTACTTAGGATTCAGTCACAAAATGATTGAATGAACAATTTCAAAGAAAGTGACACTATCGCTATCGCTATCTTTTTTTTATATCCAATGGTAAATAACGATAAAGATTTTTCACATCAACTTTGAATACTACAATTCATATCACTTAATTATATGAATTTAATTATTAACAATTTACTAGATCTACTACTAATACTATAATTATAATTCTATTAAATATTTCAGCTATATTATAATTATCTGCTTTAATAAATAAATTGAAAATACTATTAACAAATAATAATAATAATTTTGCAATTAAAATGAGAGATTATAAATCAAAAAATATATATAAAAAATAAGTTTTTAAAACTAATTAACTTGTTTAACTTATTCTAATTATAAGCTAAGATATATGTTATATTTATAAATAAATTATAAAAACTAAATTTTCAATAAAATTATAAATTGAATTGAATTTTGAACTGAAATTCGAATAGAAAATTTGAATTGAAATTTGAATAAAAATTCAAACTAAAATTTGAATCAAAATTTGAACTAAATTTCTAATTGAAATTTGAATAAATATTTGAATTTTAAATATTAATTATTAATATAATTATTATTTTAAATATTAACATGATAACATATAAAATTATATAAATTAAATATAAGAAATATCAAATCATAATAATATCAAAGATAATTAATATATATGAATACCAAAAATAACTAATAATATAAATATTAAAGGTAATCAAGTAATATAAATATCAAAAATAATTAAGCAATGTAAATATTAAAGATAACTAATACAATATAAATATCAAAAATAATCAAGCAATATAAATATCAAAGATAATCAAGCAATATAAATAGCAAAGACAATTAATACAACATGAATATCAAAGATAATCAATATAATATAAATATTAAAAGATAATTAAACAATATAAATATCAAAGATAATTAATGCAATGTGGATACCAAAGATAATAAATATAATATAATATGATAATCAATTATAAAACTCGTATATATAGAATTTTAATACATTGTTATGAGTTCTGAACTTAGATAGATATTTTTGTAATGTAAATATTTAACCAATATTTGTATACTTCTTTGATCTTATTACTGATTTTAATTCAATTATATTAAGATTAATACATGATATAGTTTTTTTTTTAATTAATAAAATAGAATTACTACTATTAATAAATATTTTTTTTATATTTATTTAGTGTGAAAATAATTTTATAACAATATAGTATTAATATTCTATAACAATCTGATTGAATGTTCAGTAGTATAATAAATATAATAATATAATTATATGCAATTAATTTATTTATTTATAAGATTTAATAAGAATAATCAAATAATAGATATTTAATTAAAGATATTTTATTTAAGTCATTAATTGAAATAATTGCTATAATTTTATTATGTTAGATCTAATTAATTATAACTTGTTTTTTTTATAGTTACAAGATCAGCTGTATTTATATTTAATATTTTTATAATTAAGTTATTATAATATAAAATATATTATACATATTAGATAAATATAATATTATTATAAATTTGTTTACTAATTGTTAAATTAGCTTATAAACTTGAATCTGAATTAAAAAAGAATAATAAATTAATAAAAATATTAAAAAAAAGAGAAGTATCTAAGATTTATACCAATTTTTATAAAAATTATATTTATTTAGAAAGGAATAATAATATAAAAGAGTTGTAAAAGAATAAAAAAAGAGAATATAAAAAAATAAAAAAATAAAAAAGAAATTTGAAAGGCTAATTCTTTATACTTATATAAAGCTTTCCAGAGCTAAAATAATATAATTAATAATAACAATAACAAAAACTCTTTTACTTTATTCTTTTTATGAGTGAGAAATATTTATTAACAATTAAAAATTCAAATAACAAAAATTAAAATACTTAAATTCAATTTTAATAATTTTAATACAATAATTTGTTCAGTATAATATAATCTAAAATTCAAAGTCAATAATAATGATTTGTTCAACACAATATAATATAAAGTCATTAATAATTTATTTAATACAATATGATTTATACAAAATTTGAAGTATATAAAAAAATATAAAAGGTGAAAGGTATTTAAAGAAATATTTTTATTAAGAGAGATTTTTATTTTTAGTTATAATATATTAAGTTAAGACTCAGATAACATCTTTATTTATATATTTTTTGAAAATATAAAAAGTAAACTAAATAATAAAAGTAAAATAACTAATTATATAAAAGTAAAAAATCAAAAAAGTAAAATAACTAAAAAATGAAATAATATATATAAAAATGAAAAAATCAAAAAAATAAAATAATTAAAAAGTAAAATAATATATAAAAGTAAAAATAATGAAATAATATTAGTGAATTTTACTATTATATAAGTATTTTTAGAATTTTTATATTTTTTAATTATTTTTAAAATTTATAATATTTATATTGTTACCATTCTTATATTAATAGACAAGATATTAACTAATTATAGTAATTAATTAAGAATTATATAAGAGCGATAATAGTAACTGTGTGTACTTGAGAGGGTTGAATACTAAATAGTTGGAAGAGAGTATTAAAAAGAAATAAATTCTGATACTTTTACTAGTTGGATAAGTATTTTATGATTTAAAAGTACAAATGATTTATTAAAATACAAAAGATAACTTTCATTAATTGGATAAGTCAAAGTTAAATAAATAATAAATCAAAGACAAAAGATTATTTTAGAAGTATTAATTAACTTTTATACTTTTATTACTTTCAAAATTACTACTGAGATTCTTTTTAATATGATATAATTAAAAGATCAAAGGAATATGAGTCACAACCAATTTTTATTTGATAATATTATTTTAATTTATTATTCAATAATGATTCTAAGCTAAGATACATGCTGCTTATATATCTATTTCTAACTCAAAAAAAACCAATTAGAATTTAACATATTTTTATATATCACAAATAACACACAATGTTACTCCAATTTGCTAAGTGTTGCATATTTAAATCTAGTACCAACAA